GTAGGTTTCCAGCAATGTAGAAAGATCTCGGGAAGTTCTTGTTCAAGGACTTGAGAATGTCCAGCTGTCGAAACCTCTTCTGGAGGTTCTTTCCCTCTCACACTGGTTTTTATGTGTTATGTCAGATGTTCCTTGACAATTTCATTTATGTTACTTACATGTACCATTATTTTTCTGTGATACGTTGCAGGCTTTGATCCATTTAGAATCAATTCAACAACCTCCAAAACAAGTGGGATATTTAGATTCATTGGTTGAGAAGTTCTTAGTTCCAAGTCCTGATAACCTGAATATTGCAAGTATCGCTGAGAGAGAAGAGTTATCTAGCATTTTTTTGGAGGTGATGATTCACATTTTTGTTTAAGAATATTGCTGGAGTAAACATTTTGATTTTGCATCAATTTGTATTGCTCATGTCTACATACGTTGGCAAATTTGATTTACTCTCTCCGTCCCAAATATTAGTCTCTTATTCCATTTTTCATTATCCCAAAATATTAGTTCATTTTAAAAAATCAAGGAATAAAATAATATAAATTTGTTATTTTGCCCTTCTTTTAAATTCATTATCAATAATACAAAAAGTACAATTATGACAATTGATATTCTAAAAAAAAAATGTACTATCAAAGGATAATTTTGAGAAATTAATATTTTTAAAATATAATAATGATACTATCAAAAAAAGTTGGATTCCCCAAAAGGGACCATTATTTTGGGACGGATGGAGTATTTTTTCCAAAGTTGGTTAGTTGATGAGGCGATGAGTTTTTTCAATTGTGCATTAGGACATTGTTAATTTATTTTTAATTTGAATGGCGTAATAGTTAAATCTTGAATTTCCATTAGCATGTTTTCCATGCATATATCTGTATGTTGGAACTCAAATATAATGATTTGTGTCTTCAATCTGCATTCGAATATTTTGAAATCAAACTACAATCGTATGACTTTATTTATTTATTTTTTATTTGGCTAAATTAAACTGACTAGTTCTGATAAATATTTATACCTTTGTGGGTCTAGAAATTATACTGACCTCTGTTAAAATTTATTGGCTAACAGCGTTTAAAAAGCTATCAAATTTAAAAAATATATAATATAGTGACTTCTGTCATGGTAAAATTGGGTATTTAAAAAATCGTGAACACGAAGTTAAGAATATCCGTGGTTCTCACTTATGGCCCAGAAACAGGGGGTTTCTGCAATAAAAATTTTCATATAAAGCCGGTTAATGTATCTTCCAGAGCCACTAGTGTACCAAGTATATTGAAGACAAACCTCAAGATTAGTCAGTGTAACTCTTTTTTTCTTTTGAAAATTACACTTAACACCCAATAAGGCTTTTGAAAATTATAGGGCATTCCCTAAAGAATATAAAATAACACCCACTTTCAGGCTTATCTGCAAAAGTCAGTGATTTTAGCTTTTGCCCTGTTTCATCTATTATATTTACTCATGTAAGATATTAGTCAAATTTGGCTTTGACCAATTCTTATTTGAACTGCCTGAACTGCTTGTTGAATTCATTTTTCTTAACCAACCTTTAGTGTGTTCCCCCAAGGTAAAAATTCCATCTTGTCCACTTATTGTTTAGCTACAAATGGATACAAGAACAGAGTGTTTATGTATTTGTTTACTGTATGATGTTTTTTTTTTTTTTTTTGTATTGAGTGTGATAAAAGTTTTCTGAGATTCTTTATTTCTTTTGTTGAAGCTCTGTCCTTCATGTCTAACATTATATGTCCTTTCCATTTTCTAATTCTTGTTTCATTTCATTTTTTACATTTTTAGACATTTGTGTTTGTTGTTTTCAGTGTTTGAGAATTTCTCCACTTTTGTGGTTTGAGACGGGCTGATTTGGATTGCCTTTCAATAAATGTTCTATGTTTGTTATTGTTGTTGTTGCTTTGCTTTGTTTTGAAAAAAAATCAAATAAAATAAGCACACATATTTTATCATGCTTATCTTTTAAGTTGAAATAAATACTTTGCCTTGTATGTAATATGGTTTATGGGTTATGTTTGCTTTCGGGCAAATTATGTTTTTCTGAAAGCATTGTGCCAACAATTGATATTACAGTTTTTGGATCTCTTTGCGGATGCACAATCTATCAAGAAGGCTGATGATCGGCATGCCAAGCTCTTCTTACACCACAAGAGCACATCAGAGTCAAAAAAACGTAATGCAGAGGATATTCTAGTTTCGGACAAAACAAAGGTAGCCAAGTCTTACTCTGGTGTTCCTACATCTGCCCCATCAGTTATGGGTGCATATCCAAGTGTGCAAAACCAATGGGCAGCAGGCTATGGCTTACAGCCTCAAGCTTGGCCACAAGCCACACAAACCACACAAGCCCAAGGGCAACAGTGGAATCCTGGCTATACCCAACAGGTATTTTATCCTTTACCAATGATATTTGATACTGTTGTTTAACATACTTGTTAAAAGAAGGCAGGAGAAAGGCTGGTGTTTCTTATTGTCTAGCATACCATAAGATTGTTTTTAGTTTGGTGAAATTATGTTGCTTATCCAAATTAGGCGGAGAATGTATGCTGCAAGATGACCAGCACCAGAATCGGAATAAAGTTATCTTGTTCGAAGTTTGTTTGGCTTACCTTGGAAGCGTATTTAGCTTTGTCCTCGTAATGGTCTATGGTTGGATATGGATGATTCAAAGCAGTCCAATCATTACATATATATTCCCATGTTGATGTCTTGATTTGGCAACATGAAATTATCCTGAATCCTTATCCATTTTTTTGTTTGTACAGGCTGCATATGGGGCATATGGTAGTTATGGAAGCACCTATGCACCTCCACAACTACCAGCTTCTGTACCGCAGAATGCTGCTTATGGTGCTTATCCTTCTACATATCCAGTCCAGGTAACTCGAGTTTGCTCCTTTTATTCTCAGTGATCATTTTGTGAACTTATGAATTAGTTGTACCTTAAGCTAGTTGCATAATTCTATTACTTCTAGTGTTGATGTATCATTTTTTCCATGAGCATTTAATCACATGCTACACTGCTTGTAAACAATTGGAGTCTTAGCCCAAAGAATTTATGTTATTTTTGAACTGCTATATCATATATATCCCGATTTACTGAAGAAAATTTAAGCTCGTAGTTCACTTTTGTACGCTTTCCTCGAGATTAGGGTTGAAACTGTTGGTAAGGTTTGGCATTCACTGCCCATTGACTATGTAATAAACATCATCTGCCTTTTTGTGGGTGAAGTAGCATTCCTATTCCTCTATCCTCTTTTTCATCATTTCTGGCCGGGAAACCATCGGACTGCCAGGTCGACTGTTGTGGCTTCCTTTTTTCTTTTTTCTTTTTTCTGGCAGGTCGACAGTTTTAGTTCATTCGTGTTCCCCTTGGGCTGTGAAATCAATTTTAGTGAGTACACATTTTAACTATGCATGGTTTTAGGTCATTTCACAAGTCACTGAACACTCCTATCAAGGCTCCCGCTCCTGCATCAAATTTGCGAATTGCCCCGGGCTAATCCGCAAATTACTATACTATTGGGGCAAATTCATCATGTGTGATAATTTTAGGCTAGTATTTTTTGTTTATTCTCTAGCTTCTTTGCCAGCATACCTCATATCAAATGGAATTGAAAAAATTCTTGCAAGGTAGAAGAATTACCACTATTAGATTCTGATATTACTTTAGGCTTGTATTTTATTTATTAGGACTATGAAACATAATAATATTCACTTCGACAGTAATGTGACATTTTAAAAGCTAAAGATTTATGCAAGTAATTATATATTTATAAATACATATATGTGCACTTTGGAGGCTCTCCCACTCCTAAGGTTTTTTAGAAAAGGCTGCTCTCGCTCCCTGAATGCATGACTTGGGTCATTCCTATGCCCCCTAAACCCCTGCTTTTTTTTTCATTTGTTGTGGTTGAGGTGTGGTATGGTTGAGTAATTAAGCTTTTGTGTTTGGTTGGTTGGATAACATGATTTTTTTTGTTTTGTTTGCACACAGCATATTAATCTAATTGCTTGGTATTTGGTTGGTTGGATAACGTGTGTTTTTTTTTTGTTTTGGGGTTTGCACTCGACATATTATTCTAATAATTGCTTGGTGTTTTTTTAATCACAGCACGCCTATCCTCAGCAAAATTATGCACAACCAGCAACATCAGCGGCAGCTTTAACTCCAGCACAACCCCCCGCTTCAGTTGCCGCTCCTCAGGCCTACTATGGAAGTTACTACTGAGCTGGCGAGTTTATCAGAGACCAATTTTGCCGCCTGTAACATATCATTCCCGCTTTGTTGTGGCATCTACCAAAATTGAACTGTACAATGGGTGTATTGGACGCGGGCTGTATGAAGTGAGGCAGTAGTCTGATATAGGAAACCGAGTGTAGTTGAAGTGTTGAAATTGCGACTAATTGATTGAAATGGTAACAGAATTGTATTTAAACTTTTTGGTAGATCATGTATGCACATCTTGGAATATATGCAGGTTGTGGTATTTTCGTGAAAAATATATGATGCTATTGTGAGCAGAGGTAAAGCACGAGTCTCATTGAGGTAATGGAAGATTTGATTTGAATATGGTTCCGTAAATGTACCTCTGGTATTTCATGTAATCATGAATGTTTTGTGAAAGCAAATTGGTTCATAATGGAGGCTGCTTTCCATAGATTTTTGTTTTTAAAGTTTACAATGAGCCCTAGGCTTTTTTAAATTACCCAGTTTTGGCCAGGCGTCACTCACTGAATACCTTTTTTCATATCATAGAATAACCCATTTTCTTCGGTGATTTGATTTTTGAATTTTCCTTGGATTCTAGTATATATTTCATGCATTTTTTTACTGTGCAAAATCTTAAAAAATGATCAACAAATGTCAGTTTTATGCTGTTATGTTATTTTTTGATTCCTTTGATATGTTGTTAGCTTTTTCCTTTTTACTTTTTACGTAAAATTAGTAAAGATAAATGTGTTTGATGTGTAAAAGTATTTGGAAAAAAAAAATAAAATAATGTGTTTGCTTTGAGATTTTTGAATTAAGTTTCTTGAAAATTGAGTTTTTTTTTTTAAAATTTTTCGTGTTCTTTTGTTTTTAATGAATATTTTTTAAATTTTAAGTATTTTTTAATTTTTTTGGATGTATCTTATTTAGATGTATTTAAGAAGTAAAAAATTTGTGAAAAAATATTTTAATAAATTAATAAATACATAAAAATATATTGAATTCTCATTTTTTTTTAATATTTTTGATACTAAGTGAATATTTGAAAGATTTTTTTCACAAAAATTATATTTATCTATATTTATGTTAGGTGTGTTTAAATTTTTTTTAAAAAATGTTTAAAATATTAAAAAATTTTAATAAAAACCAAAAAAACACAAAAAATAGAAAGCAAAATTTTTTAAAAGTGTTTTTGAAAAATCAAAAACAAGTAAGCTAAATAATATGAAAAATGCTTGGGAGCACTAATTAGTGCTCCTACTAATTAGGTGGCAGTGGGTTCAGCCATTAATGATGTGATGTTTTGGTCTTGGAGTTGTAGTTTTATTTATTTTTATTTATTTTTTTAATACATTAGTGCTATTAGTGGTAATGTTTTTAGTGTGATGAATCATTGTTGAAATAATATTTGGTGACTTGTATATATGAGATGGTGGCTGCCCATGCTGTCCAAGTTGGTGGCCATAGGGGGTGACAAGAGGGGCACGGGTTGTGGTAAAAATGTCTTTTTTTTATTGCTAATTTTTTTAAAGATTGTTTTTATTTTTTTGAAAGCGAAAATAATAAAAAATTTCATTTATAATTTAAAGGGCATTTGATTTATAAATTTAATTTTAGATTTTCTTGGATTAACGATACAGACTTTAAAATATTTTATTTATAACGACAAGCTCTTGGAAAATGACCAAACTATTCTCTATACATATATTGTTTCCCAAACAAAATGTAACCAAATCCCTCTTTCTTCCGCTTCCTCTCTTCCTCATCTCTCCCCTCTTTAGCACGCCAAACAGAACCTTTTCGGCGGCGCGCCGCCATTACCGCCACCCCTTCCTCGCCATGTAGCCTCAACCTCTTTGCAGAGGTCGTGAAGTAGCTCCTCTGCCAGACCACTGCCTACTCTGTTTGCCGCCATAATCGACGGCGTCGCCACATCCAAGATCTGCCGTTGGTAATGTTGAGCGAATCTCACGGAAGAACATGTTGGAAAAATGGTTTTTAAACCATGATTTGTGGCCAACTTTGAGCCTAATTTGAGATAGGATCTGGGTACCGATTGAGGTGTATCCAGGTGGAAACGTGATTTATGCCGGGTGGTGATTCACATCGCATGTTTGGTTGATCAAAACCATTTTCCTAATGAATGCGAAGTTGACTCCGAAAGAGGCTTCGGCAAAACGGTATTTGAACGAATTCAAAATTGAATTCGTCTTTGTTTTCTTTCAGAAACTCCGAAGCCTTCAATGGAAATTCAATTTAATTGTGATTTGGTTTCTCTCTTCTTCTTGAGAGATTAACGATACAGACTTTAAAATATTTTATTTATAACGACAAGCCCTTGGAAAATGACCAAACTATCCTCTATACATATATTGTTTCCCAAACAAAATGTAACGAAATCCCTCTTTCTTCCGCTTCCTCTCTTCCTCATCTCTCCCCTCTTTAGCGCGCCAAACAGAACCTTTTCGGCGGCGCGCCGCCATTACCGCCACCCCTTCCTCGCCACGTAGCCTCAACCTCTTTGCAGAGGTCGTGAAGTAGCTCCTCCGCCAGACCACTGCCTACTCTGTTTGCCGCCATAATCGACGGCGTCGCCACATCCAAGATCTGCCGTTGGTAATGTTGAGCGAGTCTCACGGAAGAACATGTTGGAAAAATGGTTTTTAAACCATGATTTGTGGCCAAGTTTGAGCCTAATTTGAGATGGGATCTGGGTACCGATTGAGGTGTATCCAGGTGGAAACGTGATCTATGCCGGGTGGTGATTCACATCGCATGTTTGGTTGATCAAAACCATTTTCCTAATGAATGCGAAGTTGACTCCGAAAGAGGCTTCGGCAAAACGGTATTTGAACGAATTCAAAATTGAATTCGTCTTTGTTTTCTTTCAGAAACTCCGAAGCCTTCAATGGAAATTCAATTTAATTGTGATTTGGTTTCTCTCTTCTTCTTGAGAATTCCAAATAGAGGCGTGATTTGGTGTAGGCTAAATTCTTCTCCGAATTTGGTATACGACGCTGCTCACAATGGACGGCCCAAATTGGAACAACATTTGAGGCTGTTAACACGTTCCTCACACAACCATCTCATGTCTATATATACCTCCTCATCCTTAGTTGTTGGTGTAGGAAATTCGAATCGAATTACAATCAAAATTAGAATCAGAGTTGCGCCGAAATTTTTCGGAATTTCATTGCTCTGTTTTTTGTTTCATCTTCATTAAATTCTGTCTTTGTGTCAGAGAAAGTGCAACACAAGTTTGGTACGCCATATATGGATGGTTGTGCTGCGATCTTGGATTCTAGTCATTGTATCCTGGGAGGTTGGCGTCCATAACCCAAGCATCTAATTTGGTATTGCATTTCGGTATTGTATTATTTTATGATTACAATTTCCAGTTTAATTTCCCAACAGAACATAGGCTATGTTTGATTCCACATGACTAATAGTGAGGTATTAACAATCTTATGAAATTAGTGTGGTATTCACAATCCCACCCCTATCTCATTACTAATAATCCTATAAATTTGTTGGATTAACTATCCATTGGATTAATAATCCTAAACAAAATGTCAAAACAAACATAGGATATTTGAGCTCACGGATTAATAATCCTAATCCCATACTCTAATCCTTCCAATCAAACATGCCCATAGTGTATGACGGATGACAACGGCGGTGGTGGTTGAGTCGGCTTTATCAGATCTCCACGAAATGTGCATCTCCGACCGGAGTGAGGAAGCACCACCGTAGCCCCTGCTTGACTCTCTCTTTCTATCTCTCTCTCTTAACTCTGTGTTGTTTCTGGATTTCTCAAACTTTTGGACTCGAAAATGTAAATTCAGTGGTGAGGCCTCTGGTTTGTGTGTTCTGTGCAGGTTTGGTGAACTCGAAAAGAGATATAGCTTGGGGTTTCTTCTTCTTAGCCTTGGTGGCGGCCGCCGCTGCAAGTGAAGGAAAGTTCTTTGTGTTTTCGCCGCAAGTGAAGGGTGGTTCATTTTCGGCTTCGTGTTCTTCGGAATCGAGTGCCCAAGCACCATGCCTCGACTACGCACTGGTTACTGTTGCCGCTACGGTTTCTCTCTCTCTTTTTAAACTCTTTCTCTGTATCACTGTGTTTACTTTAGACCTGTGATTTTGATGATGATGATAATGATGAGTAACATATATTCCGAAAGTAAAGGATGTCAGCCGAGGAGTATAACCGGGCAAGTTTGCAGACAGTTATGTTAACTAGCCCAGTCGAGGTTTGGCATCTTGAAGACCGAAGAAATGTTATCTTAGTCGAAGTGAGTAATCCCAGTCACGCTTTCGCGGACGGAATTAAGGGGCAATTGAGAGGGTGATTTATGATCTGGAGTTAGGTCGAGGTAACGGCCGAGCAGCTTGAGAGCCCAACGGTGTATGGGGCCGAGATGATCGACTATCCGCCCAGAGATGGGCTGCCAGAACTTGGGCCGGGCAGAACTTGAGCCGAGTGTGTGCCACCCAGACCGTAAAGAAGTTGCTCGGCAAGGCAGTGCTCGGTCGGACCGAGCTGCTCGATCAGGGGATGACCGAAGCCAGACAAGCTGAGTGACCGGCGCCCGGAAAGGCGTGGTCAGCCGAGGTAACTGTTTGACCGGCAGAAAGGCCGACCACAGGAGGTGCCTCGAGCTAGTCTTTGCCGAGATGCCGCCTAGCCCGGTCCTCCTTGGTCTTAGCCAGTGAAGTGCTTGGGTATGAAGCACGGCACGGCACAGCAATGGATAGAGCAGCTCGGCTGCCAAGCTCTAGTTGTGATGGCAGGCAGTTGAGATTAGGTGATGCTCAGCAAGGTTTATGCTGACAGATGGGATAGCGGAGCCACGTGTCAGGAGATGACTGGGAGTAGATATGGGGCACAGAGGGTATATAAGCATGTCTGCGCCCCCCATACGCGACAGATGAACACTTTGTAAGGAATTTCTTACACCCAAACTCCTCTCTCTCTCTCTATCCTAAGGTGTGTGCTAACTTGATCGTCGGAGGGTTTTTCCGGCCACACACCGCCGGGTAGCTCACCCTTATTGGCTCACAGGAGATCGGACAGTGACGAAGCTCGGAAGAAAGGAGTACGGGCTTGCCTGAATATTTGCTCCCCGTACAGGAATCGAGAAATAAATTTATTTGTGGTTTGATAGATGCAGCTGGCGATGATGGGGTGGTGGTGGGGGTGGGCGTGGGCGTGGGCGTTGGTGTGTTCTCGGTGGTGGTTTCTTGTTTTCCTTTTTTTTTTTGTTTTTACTCAAATTTTTTAATATTTTAAGCAATTCTTTTTTAATTTTTAGACACACCTAACATAAACATTTAAAAAGTATAATTTTCGTGAAAAAATCTTTAAAAAATTCACTAAATATCAAAAATACAAATACAAAAACAAAAACAAAATAAAAATTCAGTATATTTTTTGTATTTTTATATATTTATTAATTTTAAAAAATATTTTTTCACAAATTTTTTACTTTTTAGATGCATCTAAGTAAGGTACATCTAAAAACATAAAAAAAATGTTTAAAATTTTAAAAATATTCACTAAAAGCAAAAAAATACGAAAATTAAAAAACTCAGTTTTCAAAAAATTTAATTCAAAAAACTCAAACCAAACACAGTGAGTGGTTTTTTTTTTGAACAGATCACACCTCTTTTTAACGTGTAATTTTTGTGTGCAAAGATGGTAGGTGCGTTGTGGTATTTTCATTCTCTCATTGGTTAAGAGAGTGGGGGTTACATTTATGTGTTGGGTGATAGCAAGATAACATGGGAGGTCATGGTATTTATGATTGGTTGAAGGCATCAGGTGGCATGCCACGTGGTACCCTCCTAGCACCCAAGAAATTTTCCTTTTTAACAAATTTAAAAATGAACTTTTATTTTAATAGACAAAAAAAGTGAACAGATAGTAGAAAAATAAAAATTTAAACAGATAAAAAAATGAATAAATAAGGTTCAACAGAGAAAAAAAATGAATTGTTATTTTAACAGATAGAAAAAAATTGAACAAATAATAAAATTTACATAGATTTTGAACAGATAAGGGTGAGAAAATTGAACAGATAATCAAAATATTTGAACAGATAGATATAAATTTGAACAAATAATCAACAAAAAGTCACCAGATAAATTAAGGGATAAAATTTGAACAAAATGTCTTCCAAAATCAATGAAGGACTTTTCACCAAATTATTTCACGAAGGGTGGATCTTTTACTAATAAAAAATATTTACTGAATCTAACGTCTTATATACTTTTTTTAGATTGGATTTACCAATAATATGCTCTAATTTAAAACATTAAAAAAAATTAAAACAGAAAATTGAAGAGAAAATATTTGGGACCCCTTATGGAAAGACCCCATCACCGTTACAGTGATGTGGACCAATGATGTATTTATATTATTTTTTTTTTCTCTTTCTTACTTGAACTAATTACAAGTGAATGAAATTATGAGAGTAATATTTTGTGATGGTCCGAACCATTAGTGTGAAATTGAATTAATTCCAATCATATATAAGAGAGGCATTAAAAAAGGTTATAAAAAAAAAAACAGAAGAAAGAAAGTCACTTATTATGCAGGAGTATCAATGTTTGGTGGAGAGTTGCAAGATGCACTGATTCCTCTGCATGCATAACTGCACTCACTTTTAGATTGTCCGTATCTATCTTAAAAGTTAACTTACAGGCAGAGATGCATTTTGGCTTTTTTGGCTATTTTAGCCTGGGCTAAAAAGTTTGGTTTGGGAAGGGCTTTTTGGCTTTTTGACTTTTTTGGCTTTTTTTGTGAGAGAAGAATGTAATGATTATGGGTTGGATGTGATATTTTATTTTTTGTGGCTAAAATAGCCTATTTTGTTTTTTGTGGCTAAAATAGCCAAAAAAGCCCCGTTTAGCTCTTGCCAAACAGAGGCTTATTATGCAGGAGTATCAATGTTTGGTGGAGAGTTGCAAGATGCACTGATTCCTCTGCATGCATAACTGCACTCGCTTTTAGATTGTCCGTATCTATCTTAAAAGTTAACTTACAGGCAGAGATGCATTTGTTTGGTTTAATTTTTTAAAAATTATTATTGATGATTTTTTATTTAATTTTTATAATTTTTTATATTTTAATTAATTTTTGTAATTTTTAGATGTACATAATCAAAATCTATTTAAAAAGTAAAATAAATTGGTTAAACTATTAAAAAAATTACTAAAAAAAAAATTTAAAGTAAAATCTGTGTGTATTTTTGTTCAGATTTCATTTATATTTAGTATTTTTTTTCATATTTTAGTTAAACTCTTTCACGTTTTAGATGTATTTAATCTTGCTATATCTAAAAAGTATAAAAAAAAATTAAAATGTAAAAAAAGTTCAATAAAGACAAATTAAAATTTATTTAAAAATAATTTCTGAAAATGTAAACCAAACAAAGCTTAGTGTTTTGTAGGAGCGTAAATTTATTCACAGGAACAAAACGTGTACTCTTTCATTCTAAATTAATGGAGTAGTCTAATAAAAAACGTACTCTTTCATGCTGAATTAATGGAGTAGTCTTATTAAAAATGTAAAATTGACCAATGAAGAAATGTATTTTTTTTTGTAGGAAATTCTAACATACACACCATTAAAAGGAGGGCATCATATACACTCTGGCCATGTTTGTTTGGGTAGATATGAACTTGAGATTGGACTAATAGTCCAATAAAATTATTAATTCAATGTTTGGTTAAATAATTGAAGTACGGACTAATAATCCATCTAGATATGGTATCTCACATATGATAGACTATTCAATCCCACAGAAGGGGGTGGGATATAAATTGAATGACTAAACCAAAATCTGGACTATTAGTCCTCCTTATAATCCTAACTCAATCCAAACATAAGATAGGATACATAATTCAAAGGATTCGTAGTCCTAGGACTATTAGTCATGGAAATGCTAATCCAACCTAATCCAGTCCGCCCAAATAAACATGGCCTATTAGTTATGTTATTTTTTTCTTTAATTATGACATTAATTTAGTTGTGATTCATGAATTTTTTAGTTATGGTTCATATTGTATTTGATTATGAATTTTTTTTATTATGATTCAAAAAATATAAAATTCTATTACTTTTTTTTAATTATAAAGTGCAAATATGTGCTATAATATCTCGTTTGTTTGCACTTTATGAATAAATTTACAAATGTCACAGTCCGTGATTACATGCAAAGAATAAAAATAAACTATTAAATCACTATCAATGTTGGCTGTCATATTTTATAATCACATTACTAATTTTAGTGGAGTGTCATTTAACCATAGTAAAAATGAGGCTATTAAATCATTGTTGACTATATCATATTTTATAATCATTACTAACTGTAGTGTGATGTAACAACCACAGACGTCGAAAAAATTGTCGTTGTCAGTGATCAGCAACAACTGTGGACTTGTGGTGGTGGATGTTATGAATAGATAAGTAGATTAAGTGAATATATAAATGACATGGGAATAATACATGAATAAACAAGTGACATGAACATATAGGTAAAGGTGAAATGGTCTTTTAAATTAAGGTAAATTATAAATACATCTTTGAAGTTTGATTAAAATACAAATAGTTCTATATGATTTTGAAAATTACATTATACCCCTTGAAGTTTCTAATTTCATAATAAATCGTTCATTTTATTAATAAATCATCAAGTCAATTAACAGTTTTTAATGATGTTAAAAATATATTTTAATCAATAATTTAGGTAATTTTATTTTGTATAGGAAAACAATTATGAATTTTATTTTTTTAATTAATTCTGTTAAATAAAAAATTCTAATAAGGGAGTATTTGTAATTTTTCAAGCTATAGAGGACAATTTATATTTTAAGCAAATCTCAAGAGATGTATTTGTAATTTATCTTTTAAATTGTAATTGTTATTTTAGTCCAAAAGGATAGAGCATTTAACCAGAGGGATAGTTCGATTGACCAAAATTCCTAAAATTCCTAAACATCACTAGAAGGTGAGGGATTCAAATATTTCCACTTGCGTGGGTGGATCTTATTCTTTTTGTATTAATTAAGACTTTCTATCTCACATTGAAAGTTTCTTTTATAATATATTTTTATTGTATTTAATTTTTATGATTGTAATGTATTGAATTTTATTGTAATATCTCATATGAGTCTAATCTATAATAAATAAATATAAAAAAAAAACAGAGAAAAAAAATAGAGCATTTAAAAAATTAAGGCTAAGCTTGGCATGTTTCAAATAATCTATCTTTTTATCTTTTTTTCATCACATCACCTCTCTATTTTTTTACACATTTTTTTATAAAAAAATAAAAAATATACTTATTTAAATCATCTCAAACAACCCTTATTTGTGAGTGTGACCACATCACACTAATTTTAAATTTAAATCATACACATTATTTTAGAGATGCTTTAAGGATACAGCTTCGGAGTACTTTCTTTGGTTGGTTGCTTAATTGATTATGTGTCTCTAGAATTATCGTAAAACATGACTATTTTAATTATTTCTTTTTTAAATGTTATAGTCGTTATCATGGGTCATGATCATCTTCCTGCTATATATATACCCGCTGTATTAGGTGAATCTTGAAAAACCTATCGATGTCATGAGTCATGACATATAGAGTTAATATCTGCAAAATTACATTACAGTACTTATGCGCTTATCGCTTTTTGTTAATGTGTGATCAGTGGCACTACTAATATTCACCAATTCTGTGGAAGCAAGGGAATAACAATACATGAAAATTAAAATTTGAAGTTTAACCACGATGGACAGTTCTGATTACCTATCATTATTTTTAAAAGTTTAACCACGATGGACGGTTCTGATTACCTATTACTCTCCTCATGGCATATTGTTTTAGTAGACCCACTAAATCAACGGTCCTAATTCAATTAGGGCATTGATTAATGAAACCGCAGCTTCAAAATAAAGCGACTAGTTCTATTCAGTCTCCTCTCCACAGATCTATATCTATTTCTTCGTCTTCTCTCTCTCTCTCTCTCTCTCTATATATATATATATATATCTCTATCAAATCTCTATATCTTTCTATCTCTATATCTATCTCTACGACATTGTAATCTCATCTATTATTCTCTTTCTCTGAAACTTTATATATATATATTTCTCGCTTTCTGTAAAGAAAAATTAAAGATATATACTTTTGGGGAATTGAAAATATAGACGGAGATAAGAAAATATTTATTCTGGTTGTAAACTCTAGGATTTGATATTTGGAGTTTTGAAGATTGAAGATTTTATTACTTTGTTGATGATCTGAGATCGAATCGGTGTTCTGAGAGAGGGCAAAGCGATATCTGTTTTTGTTTTTTCTTGCGCCAATGGCGAGTGGGTACCCAGCTGCTGTCAGTGCTGCTCAGGTGATTCAATCAAAGAACCCATAGAACATCTCGTTTCGATGGGTTTGATGTTTATGTTTTAATCTTTTTTTTTTTTAATTATTTAATTTAATTGTGTAGGTTGGTTCATACTTCGTTGGACAGTACTATCAGGTTCTTCAACAGAAACCTGATTTTGCTCACCAGTTCTACACAGATGCAAGCACGATGATTCGGGTTGATGGGGATTCGAGTGAGTCTGCTTCGGCTATGTTGGTAATGCTTTGAATTTTTATTTATTCTTTCAATCCTACTTCTATATATATATATATATATATATATTAAATATTTTAATTTGATTGATGTTTTATCGGGGACAGAACTTTAATACCTAATTGGGTTTGCATTGTTGTCTGAAACCCAATGTTGTTTTCCACTCTGCAGTTTTAGGGGGTGGCGATTTGGTTTCTATTCTTATTCTAAGATTGTTAAAATCTTAGATTTTTTCACTGTTGTGTGGGCATGAATGATAGAATTTCTATTTTATTTTCTTTTTTTGAAATCAGAGAATGATTCATATAAAAAAAAATTAAGTTGGAAGAATCAGGGATGTGATCAATGAGAAATTTTGAGGAAGTTTTCTTTGGTTTCTGATTCTGACAGCTTCTTCATGTTATTGGTCACATATAGAGGAATGTAAAGATCCTTATTTTCGAGAAGGTCTATTAGTTTCTATTGACATAAATTTATTGTTCGAGTGTGCAGTGAAAAATATGCATCGCAACCTACTTTGAATTTTTGCTTTCCACGGAGGCTATTTGTGTTTTTTGCGCCTGGTATTTATGGGAACATAAAAATAAAACAGTGGTGCTACATTCACCAATTAATCTGACTCCACTTATTATACAAATTACAAATACTCAAAACCTCTAAAATTATGCTACATCATCGGTTAGTATACTAATTAGTACATTAATTGCTACATATAGCATTAGGAATGTAAAGATCCTTATTTTCGAGAAGGTCTATTAGTTTCTATTGACATAAATTTATTGTTCGAGTGTGCAGTGAAAAATATGCATCGCAACCTACTTTGAATTTTTGCTTTCCACGGAGGCTATTTGTGTTTTTTGCGCCTGGTATTTATGGGAACATAAAAATAAAACAGTGGTGCTACATTCACCAATTAATGTACACACTAGTGTACCAACTGACTCCACTTATTATACAAATTACAAATACCGAAAACCTCTAAAATTATGCTACATCATCAGTTAATATACTAATTAGTACATTAATTGGTACATATAGCATTATTCAAAATAAAAATACATTGATGGTTGGATTTGTGGTCTTTGCACCTTAATTTTGTAGTAGTTAAATTATTAACTAGCAAAATCTCAGGTGAGCCTGCAACTAATAATGTTGTCCCCTACTATTGATGCTACTTATCTGCTGTTAATTGATATGGATTATATGCATTTGAAGTTGTGAGTTACAAGTGTACTTCTCAGTGGATAATTAGGAAATACACTTCCATCTTATCTTAAATTTTGTTCATTATTTTTATAGGATATCTGTGCTTTTATGTGTTATTTGTGGGCTTGCTGAATTCTGCTTAAATTTGATCACATCGTGTGGCTCCTTGTATGTGATCCATAAAATATAATTATTCTCTCATTTTCTGCAGCAAATTCATTCGCTTATCATGTCTTTAAATTTTACCGGAATTGAGATCAAAACAATAAATTCTCTTGAATCTTGGACTGGAGGTGTTCTTGTGGTGGTTTCGGGTTCTGTTAAAGCCAAGGATTTTGGTGGCAGGAGGAAGTTTGTGCAGACTTTTTTGCTTGCACCTCAGGAGAAGGGTTACTTTGTTCTGAACGACATCTTTCACTTAATTAATGAGGATGTAGTACACCAACATACAGTGCCTATATTTTCAGAAAGCAAAATTGACCCGCAGCTACCGACCTCAATTCCTATTCCAGAGCCGCCAGGTATTATCACTTGATATTGATGGATTGTAAAAGTTGAACATTTGTTAAATATAATCTGTGTCTCGTAATGTAATTTTTGAAATTGGACTTGTGTAATTGTCAAAAACTGCTATGTCAAGGTGACTTCTGACGTGCTTTTGACCTACCCAAGAAGTCTTATCCAGTCCTATATGGCTTCGATAATAGGCTGTGGAACTAAGAACGGACACGGACACAGACATGGATACGGATTCAGATTCGGACACGGACACAGATGCAAACACTGGACATGGCGATTTCAAAAAAATAGAAACACGGACACAGCGGGGACACGACAATAAAATATGTTTTCATATATTTTTATTTGCTATCTAGATTAATATTACATCCACAAATAATCAATAGTAACAAAAATTAAGCTCTAATTCTATATAAATTTTTTAAAAAATATTTTTAAATTAACACTTACAGTTTATATATTTTTTTATGGGTGATCTGTTAAGTATTTAAATTTAAGAAAAAAATAATAAACATTAAACATTCATCAAAAGAACTAAATAAAATGGGGAAAAAGACAACTTGGTATGTCCCTAGAGTGTCTTCGAAGTGTCCCTGGCGTATTCCTAAAAATAAATTAATTAAATAACACGCCATGTGGTGTATCTCATATGTGTCCTTGAAGTGTTTCCGAAGTGTCCGTGTGTCCGACACGGATACGGCACTTACTTTGAAATGTTGGTGCTTCATAGCTGTGGAAATTTTAAAAGTTATGGAAAGGGGATTCACAAGATTGTGTATGCTTCTATGTATTTGTTTGGTCGGCTTTAAATCAACAAATTATTTTTTACTTTAACCTATTTAAATGCAGGAGTATCTACATTTAAGTCCATAAGTTCTGCAGTCTGCAGAGAGTGAAAACTTTCCATTTAAGGATTATGCGTGCTTGTGCTGCGCATGTGTGTTTCCCAATTTTTGGGTTATTGAATTTATTAAATGGATTAAAATTAGAATCCAGTTCTGTGACTGTCGGACATAGTCTCTTTGTTTACATTGCCTATCAGTTCTCAATAGTTTTGAGATAAAGTGATGGTTTTTTCTTTTCATAGAATTTTTTTTTTTTGAATTTATTTTTATGCTGACTAAGATAATGGGTTTAGCAGTTTCCGACTATGGCTTAGAGGCTGAGGCCAGTGAGTTTGTGAACTCAGTTCATATAGACGAGGATGATCCAGTTGATGAATACAGTTATGAAGAGCAGCTGCAACATCAACATCAACATCAACATCAACATCAACATCAACAGCAACAGCAACTGCAACAACAGCAGCAACAGGAAAGTCCAGAAACTGACACAGTGTTGGAGGAAACTCCTGCGGAGGATTCAGCTGATTTTCTTCAAAATGTGGTGGAAGTTGTGCCAGACTCTTCACATTCTGTTGAGGAACCTGTCGGAGAGCCTCCAAAATTTACTTATGCATCTATAGTATGCACCCTTTCCACTTTCCATATATTTTGTCTGCCCTTCATATCTTCAAACACCTAAAATCTAAGTTAGTTTCAACTATTTTGCCAACTAAATTTTATTGTTGGATAACTGGAAATACGTGGGAGCTTTTTTTAAAACTGCCCATGCAGTGTCAGTTTCTGGACACTATGTTCAACAATTATGTGGTTTCTTTTAGACCCCACGGAATTTTTTTATTTTTATTTTCATTTTCTTCAAGATGTAGGAGGAGAAAAATTGAAAAGCAATTCAATAATGTCTAGGTATCAAATCTGATGTCTAGGTACATACCAGCACCTGGACATGCCGGGCTGAGTCGATGTACATTGATGGTGCATTAATAATCTATACAACTGTGTATGCATGTGGCATTGTTTGGTGTCGTTTTCAAGATTTTCGTCTTCGTTTTCATTTTCATTTTTGTGTGAGAACAGTTTTCAAAAATCCAGTAAACAATTCGAATGTGTTTATACTTTCCTAAAAAGAGGGTGTTTTTAGAAAACTTCTCAGAAAATAGTTTTTGGGAATAGTTCGCCAAAAAAGTTACTTTCTATTTTGTATGTAGTATAGAAAACAAAAATAATAATAAAAAAGATACCTTACACACCTTTTTCACTTACTAGTGTTAACAATTGTTTACCTTGATGTCTTATATGTCTTGCTTTTCTACTATTTGTTTCTAATATTGGAAACTTGAAACTTGAAACTTGAAAGCTGCGAGCTCCTAAAGGGCAATCTGTTCCACCAGTGGTTCCTCGTCCATCTTTTACTAAGAGCATCCCACCTCCTTCAGAGTGGCATCATGTACAGCCTGCTGCTCAGCAGTCAAAGAGCGTGCCTGAGTCTAGTTTCGAGGCAGTAGAGGAAAATCCATCATTAGAAGAAGGTGATTTTGCCCCTTTTTTTTAATTATAAATAATATTGTTTATTGTTTGACTTCTGACATAGTTGTTTGGTAACATCTCGTTGTCCAACTCTGCCAAGTTTTATCAAATTATTTTTTATAAGAGAACAATAATGGCATGTTTTGGTTCGTTACTTGGAATCAATTTAAAATCTATTGTCAGAACTATTTACCTTTTTTGACTCCCCAAAGTGATTAATTATACTGCAACCTTGCTACAAACAAGGTTTGTTAGGAAAGCCAAATCTAAGGCCTGTTTGGTTTAGTTTTAGAATAATGATTTGAGTGTGGAGTTGTATTTTGAGTTTTTGAATCATGATTTGAAAAAAGAAAATTTGTTTGGTTATGAGTTTTGAAAATAGTTTTGGAATGATTTGTAATTTTTTTTATTATTTTTATTGATTGATGTATAGAATGTGAGAGAATGTGAGAGGAGAGAGGAGAGATGAGAGAGAAAAAGTGATTGATTGATTGATTAATAATAATAAATAAATAAAGAGAAGTGAGGAGTTTTGAAAGTAAGATTTGAAAAAAAAAAATTTGTTTGGTTATGAGTTTTGAAAATAGTTTTGGAATGATTTGTAATTTTTTTTTTTTTTTTTATTGATTGATGTATAGAATGTGAGAGAATGTGAGAGGAGAGAGGAGAGATGAGAGAGAAATAGTGATTGATTGATTGATTAATAATAATAAATAAAAAAAGAGAAGTGAGGAGTTTTGAAAGTAATTTTGAGCTGTATTTTAAAAATATGTTTGATTAACATGTTTCATCCAAATTATGATTTGAAAATTATTCCAAACGCTACCTAATACTACTCATCTACATTTTGATAATGATTTCTACAAATTTTTATGACTTGATATATGTTGGTGACTTGAGACAGTGTTGGGATTGGCTTCAAATTCATATCACTTGCATCATGTTACATTTTCATTAGATAACTTATTTTGCATTTTAAAATTTTAATTCATAATAATTTCAGTGAGCCACATTGATTATTGAATTTATATTTTCAGGTGAATTGAAATCTGTCTATGTGAGGAACTTGCCCTCTAGCATTTCTGCTGCTGATATTGAACAAGAGTTTAAGACCTTTGGGAGAATCATGCCTGATGGTGTGTTCATCAGGAACAGAAAGGTCAGCTTTTTAATCTATGCCCTTGATTCATGTGCCTTACCTGAAAGGAATCTGAAATAGATTTTGATGTTGTAGGACATTGGTGTGTGCTATGCCTTTGTCGAGTTTGAAGATCTCCAGGCTGTTCAAAATGCAATCAAGGTTTGGATTTTTTTTTTCATGATTGCAATTAGTATTAGTCTTGTTTTAAAAAAATTGATGTTGAAGTGGACGTCTTTATGTTTGATGGCAGTCGTTCTAGATCAGCATGTGCTGACCCCATAGTTGAGCTGTAATCTTGGAAGCATGGACATTCCAAAATGGGTGTTGTGCCTGTGTCCAACGGGTGTTGAACATGGACACGGCACGCACGGGCTGTCCATGTGTTGGACATGCTGTGCAGCATGTCAAATTTTACTTATTATTTTTTTATGGGACACGTGTATTGTGTCTGCACAAGCCTCATGACACCCTTTTTATTTTTTATTTTTTAATTTCATAATTTTATAATTTTTGCAAGTTGATTTGGGATCAGAGTAAAATAGAGGGGAGAAATTGGAGGGAAAAAACAAAAAAAATACACCAATATACACAACGATGCCTCTCATCTCTTTTTTGTCCTAAATTTATGTTCATGTAAAAGCTATTTTTTGTTGTATCATGGCCGTGTTTGTATTCAAATTTATTTTATTTTATTTGTGAAAATTGCTGCATCTTGTGCCCTTGCTGTGCTTCTTAGATTGTTTTGTTTTGGATGCCATTAGTTTTGCTGCCTGTTGTGCATCTCAAGTTCACCTGTGAAATTTGTTGCAGTTGTATGGGGATGGAGTTATTGAAATCTGTTTCCTCCTCCTTGATTGCTCTCAAGTTATTAACTTGATGCCACACGTTCTTTATATTGGATTCTTAAAGAACCTGCTATCAATGTTTTTAATATTATGAGTTTTTCAATCTTCTTATCCTGGATTTTGTCTTCTGTGAATCCTAATGAATTTTGAAAGAGTCAATTTTGCTATCTTTGCTTTTTTTTTCTTCTTCCTCCCATTTTTGTGGGTATAATCTTGTGTTCTTGTTTACTTTTTGTAGGCATCTCCATTACAGTTGGCTGGAAAGCAAGTCTATATAGAGGAGAGGAGAGCAAACAGCAGTGGTGCTTCCCGAGGTGGTGGCAGTAAGTCTCAAACTGTTTTCCTTTTAATCTGTCTGATATTATCTTTTGAAGTCTCTATTGAAGAGGTAATTTTGGAACTTCTTGTTATTTTTTAGCAATAGCAAGAGTTGTAACTAACCCATTGGAGAAGCTCTAAAACTTTATGACATCTTCTGTTTGTAATTCATTTTCTTCTCTTACCCGTTGACTTTTCATTCTCTCTCAAATTTACAATATTTGTTTTGACTTGACATTGCATATTGCTTGCAAATTTCCTACTCGAGGCTTATGCTTCGCTTTGTTAATTTAAATAAATGATTGGCACTGCAATTGAATTGATCTGTTGATGTCTAATTTAGGGACTAATTGAGTCTACCAAGATGCAAGCAGTGTTTCATGGGATTACAGATTGCTTCTATTTTTGATATTCGTCTAACAAAATAGGGTTAAAAATATCGTTAAGAGTTTTGTTGACAATCCTTTTGCCTGTGAAATTGTCTTGACCAGGAAGGGGAAGAGGCAGAGCAAGTTACCAATCTGAGGCTCCCAGAGGTCGTTTTGGTGGTCGGAGTTTTGGCAGGGGTGGCAATCAAGATGGGGGTGACTTCAACAAATTTGGAGGCAATGGTTTCGGTGGTTTACAATGAAAGGGTCATTGGAAGCAGAGTCACATCACAACATAGAATTTTGGGCTGATAGTGTTCCACTGCCCACAGTTTCATCCATGTTTTCATGGAAACATGTTTTCTTGGTTTGTGTCCTGTTTTGCATGGATGCTTGTGAGAGACATGTTTATTCTATTTTGTTCTGTGGTTTCAGGTATGCTTTTTTCCCCATTGATTTATATCTTTTCATTCAAGAGGGAATACTTGTCAGATTTTTGAGTGAGATATTATAAGAAAAGTCATGAAATTCTGGTTTTATGGGTGATGGTATTTTTTTAATTAGATCTTGTTTTGTTTGTCATTAGCGTGTTTCAGCATTTGCAATAATGGATCAGTAGAATCCAGTGAAAATATTCATTTATTATAAGGAGAGCTCTTGTAGTACAGATGGCACCCTTCATGAATTAAACCAAGTACTATTTTTTTTGCCTGTTTCTAAAAAAATACAAGAACATAGAAATAATCAACTTATGCTGTGTCATCGACAATTCAAGAATTTGTCATACAATCACAATCCCTGCTTTGCTAGGCTTGAGGTATCTAAGCAGTTGTAGAAGCCACGGTTCTGTTATAGAAATGCGAGGGCAGAGCACTAAGATCATTCGGTGCATCATCTTCATCCTTGTCTTCCTCCGTTTCCCAGAGGAAATTAGCATATGCTGCTTGAACGTGGCTGAAAAGAAAAAAATTAATCAGAACTCGACTCGACTTCTGTTGAAAGTGCATCCAGATAACAGAGCTAAAAAATGAGTGTGTGTATTAAAGATGGTGAAGGATTGGAAAACAAACCTATCCTCAGGGGCAGCTTGAACTGCTCTTTCAAAGTAGCTTAAAGCTCTGCCGTGGTCATGATGGAGCTCCCATACCAATTTAGCATATTGTGATAGTACTTCACCATCTTTAGAATCTGATAGGATAGCTCTAGAGTAGTATTCCTCTGCCCTTGGTAAGTCTCCTTTCGACTGCCCAAAGAAATATGTGAATGGTTTTAGATAGGGGTGTAATCGGTTTGGTGTGGTCGGGGTTGAGGTAAAATTTACTAGTGAGCCAAACCCCTGTTTTGCCGGTTAAGAAACTGAAACTGACTGTATATTGGTTTGGTTTTATTGATTGATTGATTGATTTATTTATTTAGTGTGAATCAGTGATTTACAGGAGGTTTTAAGAGTTCTATAGAAACCTGTAGAATTCCCAAATGAGGGTGAGGGTTATAAATGCCTCCCTCCCAGTACTTATCATTGCAAATCGTGTAATTATTTTCTAATAAACCCTCTGTACTTTATGAAAAAATTGTCTCAGGCAGTTGGTTAGTTTTGATGGGTTGTATCTTAAACTCCTAGTTTTTTACATTTAAAATTGATATGTCATAGAATTAGTCGAGAATTATTCAAGAATATCAAGAAAGGAACAATGAAAAGACAGAGCAAGGGAGAAAGGACTCACTTCATATAGAAACTGAGCATAATTCCTCAAGAACAGAGGGTTGCCGGGATTATCCTCCACCAGCTTCTTGTAATGCTGTTCTACACCGGGGCCATTGCCATCGCCATCATCCCTCCCAAAGGCTACAGGTATAAAATCTCCACCACCTCCACCTCCACCTCCATTATAGTCACCTCCACCACCAAAACCAATATTAGCACTGTCAACTCCAATCCCTCTTGTAAGATACATCCCAGAATTATGCTCTGTTTTCGTTTCCAAGCCTAACGCCCCATTTGCATTCAAAAATCTCATTTCATTATTCAAACCCATGTTCTGCTTCTCAAAATTCAATCCACTGCCTCTCGCGGCTATGGAGTTCTCAAAAAACCCATCGTATTCCTCCGATTGTTCTCTCTCTTCTTCTTCTTTGTCATCATCTTCCTCATCACTGTCTTCTTCATACCAATTTCTTTCATGGTGAAACGAGAAAGATGGGATTGTTTCCAACATAGAGCTATGCGTTTTATGCGGAAACTTCTTGGGTAGGTTTGAAATAGAGAATTCATCGGGGTTGCACGAGGGATTGTCTAATCCTTCCAGGTTTCCTTCAGACTGAGCCCTTTGAAAGCCATTCTCAGAGCGTCGGCTACCAACAGAGGATTCAGCGATTGCGGGAGAGATGGGAGACGAGTTGCATGAAAATGTGTAGTGGTTTAGGGGCCCAGCTTGGTGGTGAAATGAGAGCTTCTTGTGGTTTTGGTGAATTGTGGTTGGTGGGTGTTTGATGGTGGTGGTGTGGGGTGGTGGTTCAGAGTTGTGGTGGCTGGGACTTTCTGAGAAGGAAGAGAGGAGGGATCCAAGAACTGGTGTTGAAGAGCTCCTTAGCAACATCTTCTCTTCTTTGATATTTTCCCTAGCTTTAATGGCTCTATTTTGTTAGGTTGGATATGGAGTTCTGTGAAGAAGATAAAAAGGTTAAAAATTAGAAGGAAAAAAAGAAGAAGTGATATTAGCAACCTACCTAACTTTAATTTGATATTTTTAGATTTTGGACCACTTAGCATGATAGATCAAATCACCACCCCCCAAAAAAAAAACTTAGCATTATATTTTTAGAATTAAAAATAATTATTTTGTTCAAAAAATAAGCTTGAGTTAAGATTTGGAGTCAGTTTATTTTTTAGGTTTAGTTTAGGATGAGAAATGTTATATTACTTAATAAACTTCAAAATAAAATATAAGAAAAATGGGTTTTAGATTCAAACATTTGTTAAAAGGCTCAAAATCATTTACAATTAGATTTTATTAATGAACCAAACTCAAATAATTATTAGAAGATTCAATTTCATTAAGTAGCCTTCCCATCTATCTCTATAAATATTTTGACCCCTTATATATCGGACCAAAGTTAGTAAGTTTTGGGAGTTAAGAGTCGAGTTTGGAATGTTTGTATGAGATTTGATGTTGGCCTAGACGGAGCTTAAGATGATACATGTATATATCTGTGATTATGTACTAGAACATCGACCCAAACCAAACATGACCTTATCGATGCCAACCCCTTAGTATCGATGCCCTTCTTGGAAAAACATGGCATATGAGAGAGAGAGAGAGAGAGAGAGAGAGAGAGAGAGAGAGAGATACCTGTTTTGAGATGCAAAAGGGTCCTCCTAATAATCCTCAAATCAATTGCTATGACAGTAGAAGAAGAAACCTCACCAAACAATGTAAACAAAATGCAAGATGGTGAAAATATATATATACCTGGGGAAGGTAAGCTAGTTAATCATTGAATTGAGTTGCAGAAACTTCCATGCATGGTTGATTTGGATTCTCTCTCCTCAACCTTCATTTCCCTTTTACCATGCATTGTAGATATACACATCAGGATGGGGAATATTAGTGTTTGTATGGTGGAGAAGAGATCACCAATCCATCCAGTTGTTTATAAGAGAAAAAAAAAATATCAACTTTGGTCTTTTTTGAAGGTGTGGAAGAAGAGTCATACCTCACATGTTTCTTTCTTTTTCTTCTTCTTCACATGTGAGGCATATGGTCCGTTGGATGCTAATGAAATAAAAAATAAAAAACTTCTGGAAAAAAGAGACTTTTTTGCCTTTCCTTTTTTCTTGGAAGGTACTTGTGCCCTACAACCAATGTTTATTTTCATAGACACGTAGACGGCCTTTGCACCGTACATGTGGCAAAAGAGTTGCATTTGGACAATTTTGTGAGAATGGTTCTTTTTGGCTCGACTTATTGAGCTATATATAACCTTCTTTTTTTAAAAAAATAATAATTTATGTGTAGGTGTTTGATATAGTATTTGTTTATAACTTATGAATGAGGTAGAAATAATTTAAATAAATTAAAAAAATTAATTATCTGAAGGTTGAAGGAGGTTACTTATCATTTTTATTTTCTAATTATTAAACTTTTGAAAAAAATTACATCAAACAAGCTCAATATCATCTTCACAAATTGTTTGAACAAAGCACTTTGCGATTGGTTTTAACCAATTATTGAATGTCTTTAGGTAGATTTTAACACTTCAAAATTAATTTGCAAAGTGATATAGTGTTTAAGAGATTTACATATGCATGATTAAGCCCATTATTAATTGATTGTGCATAAAATTAAAGAAAAATGATTTGGAGTTTTAATTCTTGAGCTCTAGGAGAGCTTTAGTTGCGTAAGTTTCACTGTGATGTGATGTTTAAGTTCGCTTTCTTGTTTGCTTTTTGTTTTGTGTTTTTTTTACCTTATCACATATATAGAGCTCATTTTAAAACTCTATACTTAGAGCTCTCAATTATTACCGAAAATCAAATTCATCATATTTTGGTGAGTCGACACAAATAACAACCTTACCATGTACTCCAACTAAATTGTTATTTTTTTTTATTAGCTACACGCTTGGGTGTGTCTTGTGAGACCACATCTATGTGCATAATTGGTAAAAAAAATAATTAGTAATGTTACAAATTTATAAAATGGGTAAATTACACTGATACTTTTTGAGATTTTTGTTTAATACAGCTTTTTTCCCTCATATTTAAAAAATTACATTTTTCTCTCTAAAGTTTGTAATCTCATTACAAATTGCTCATTGGATTGCTGATATCATGTCTTAAATTTTTTTGAATAACGATCTTGTCCTTTTTCGAACTATTTTTTATTCCTAGGGTAAATTACATTGACACCCTCTGAGATTTCTGTTTAATACAGATCCCTTTCACGTTTGAAAAATACTTACCCCACTGTTAGATTAAAATGACATATTTGTCCCTTAACTTTTATACATATAAAATAATAAAATAATACAGGTATTTTGTTCATGTCATTTCAAGAAAAATAATAACCATCTTCTTTAGTTTAACTCACACAAAAAATTGATTTTTTTTAAAATTTTCATTTTTTTTAATATTTTGTATTTTTTTAAATTCACAAAATACAAAAATTCAGTAATACTGTAATAAATATAAATGATGGTGTTTGGTAATACTGTAATAAATGTGGGTGAATAGATAAGAAAGAAAAATGATGGTGGAAATAAAAATGAAAAATTCTATTCATATAAAAATTTATATAAAAAATATCATAAAAATGTTGTGATTGTGATGTTGTTGTAAATATAAATCATATTTATGAGTGTTTTGTTTTAAAATGAAAGGTCACCATTAAGCTATATCATTGTGTTTGCAAATTTTATATAAAATTTATGTTTGTATATCATCACTTAATAAGAATATGATAGGTAGAGTTTAATGATAGAAAATTATAGAATGTAATCATAATGATAGAAATAATAAATAGTAGAAAAAATGGCAAAATGGTCATTTAGAAAATTTTAGGACATGACATCAGCATTTCAGGGAGTAATTTGTAATGAAATTATAAATCTCAAGAAAAAAAATGTAATTTTTTAAATGTGAGAGGAAATCTATATTAAATAAAAACCTCAGAGGGTATTAGTGTAATTTAAGTTTATGGTGTTTTTTAATGAATGATAACTGATGGAAAAACAATTACGTTTTTTGAGATTCGATAAAAACTTATAATTCTGATACGATGTTAGAACAATAGCAATGGTTGAGAGAAAGGGAGAATTATGTATGTATTATATGTTTATTGCTAAATCATATATATAGGAGAGGTCATACACCTAACACACTAAACACACCAACACCTAACACACTAAACACACTAACATAACACCTAACAAAACATACCTAACAACACACTAACAAATACCCTTGAAACTCACGTGCAGTGCACATGAGTGCCTTTTCTGTTAACTATTTAAACATCCAAAAATACTTGGGAGCTCTAATTAGAGCCACCACTAATGATGTGGCAGTGGATCCCATCCATTGCCACAGTGTATGTTATGCTTTGTTTTTGTTGTTGTTTTTTTTTTTTTTCAATTTCCACCTCACTAGTGGTGGATTTAGAACTCCTTATTTAGAACTCTAAATCATTGTTGTTTAAACACCATCTATCATTTGGACCAAGTAGCATCAGTTTGTAAAAAGTTAGGAACCAAGAAGACAAAATGACAGTGTGTTTGGTTTGAGTTTTCTGAATTAAGTTTTTTAAAAATTGATTTTTTTGATTTTCATATTTTTTTGTTTTTAGTGAATATTTTTTTAAATTTTAAACATTTTTTTTACTTTTTTAGATGCACCTTACTTAGATGTATCTAAAAAGTAAAAAAATCTTGTGCCCTACAGCCAATGTTTATTTTCATAGACACGTAGACGGCCTTTGCACCGTACATGTGGCAAAAGAGTTGCATTTGGACAATTATGTGAGAATGGTTCTTTTTGGCTCGACTTATTGAGCTACATATAACCTTCTTTTTTTAAAAAAATAATAATTTATGTGTAGGTGTTTGATATAGTATTGGTTTATAACTTATGAATGAGGTAGAAATAATTTAAATAAATTAAAATTTTAATCATTTGAAGGTTGAAGGATGTTACTTATCATTTTTATTTTCTAATTATTTGACTTTTGAAAAAAATTACATCAAATAAGCTCAATATCATCTTCACAAATTGTTTGGACAAAGCACTTTGCGATTGGTTTTAACCAATTATTGAATGTCTTTAGGTAGATTTTAACACTTCAAAATTAATTTGCAAAGTGATATAGTGTTTAAGAGATTTACATATGCATGATTAAGCCCATTATTAATTGATTGTGCATAAAATTAAAGAAAAATGATTTGGAGTTTTAATTCTTGAGCTCTAGGAGAGCTTTAGTTGCGTAAGTTTCACTGTGATGTGATGTTTAAGTTCGCTTTCTTGTTTGCTTTTTGTTTTGTGTTTTTTTTACCTTATCACATATATAGAGCTCATTTTAAAACTCTATACTTAGAGCTCTCAATTATTACCGAAAATCAAATTCATCATATTTTGGTGAGTCGACACAAATAACAACTTTACCATGTACTCCAACTAAATTGTTATTTTTTTTTATTAGCTACACGCTTGGGTGTCTTGTGAGACAACATCTATGTGCATAATTGGTAAAAAAAAAAAATAAATAGTAATGTTACAAATTTAGAAAATGAGTAAATTACACTGACACTTTTTGAGATTTTTGTTTAATATAGCTTTTCTCCCTCATATTTAAAAAATTACATTTTTCTTTCTAAAGTTTGTAATCTCATTACAAATTGTTCACTAAATTTCTGATATCATGTCCTAAATTTTTTTAAATAACGATCTTGTCCTTTTTCGAACTATTTTTTATTCCTAGGGTAAATTTTATTGACACTCCCTGAGATTTCTATTTAATACAGATCGCCTTCACGTTTGAAAAATACTTACCCCACTGTCAGATTAAAATAGCATATTTGCCTCTTAACTTTTATACATATAAAATAATAAAATAATACTGATATTTTGTTCATGTCATTTCAAGAAAAATAATAATCATCTTCTTTAGTTTAACTCACACAAAAAATTGATTTTTTTTTAAATTTTTCATTTTTTTAATATTTTGTATTTTTTTCAATTCACAAAATACAAAAATTCAGTAATACTGTAATAAATATGAATGATGATATTTGGTAATACTGTAATAAATGTGGGTGAATAGGTAAGAAAGAAAAAAGATGGTGGAAATAAAAATGAAAAATTCTATTCATATATAAAATTTTATAAAAAAAATATCATAAAAATGTTGTGATTGTGATGTTGTTGTAAATATAAATCATATTTATAAGTGTTTTATTTTAAAATGAAAGGTCACCATTAAGCTACATCATTGTGTTTGCAAATTTTATATAAAATTTATGTTTGTATATCATCACTTAATAAGAATATGTTAGGTAGAGTTTAATGATGGAAAATTTTAGAATGTAATCATAATGATAGAAAGAAGAAATAGTAGGAAAAATGACAAAATGATCATTTAGAAAATTTTAGGATATGACATCAGTGTTTCAGGAGTAATTTGTAATGAAATTATAAATCTCAGGGAGAGAAATGTAATTTTTTAAATGTGAGAGGAAAACTATATTAAATAAAAATCTTAGAGGGTATTAGTGTAATTTAACTTTATGGTGTTTTCTAATGAATGATAACTGATGGAAGAACAATTATGTTTTTTGAGATTTGATAAAAACTTATAATTCAGATACGATGTTAGAACAATAGCAATGGTTGAGAGAAAGGGAGAATTATGTATGTATTATATGTTTATTGCTAAATCATATATGAATAATGCTTGAGACTCTCTTTTGGGGGTCACCCCCTCACCCTCTTTGCCACGTAGCGGGTGGTGATTGGAGGAGCAGGAAAAAAAAAAAGAAAAAAAAAAATGTAACCAATGAGAGAGAGAAGGGGTCAAAGGGGAGGAATGGGGGGATGAATCATTGTTGATCATATATATAGGAGAGGTCATATGCCTAACTCACTAAACACACCAACACCTAACACACTAAACACACTAACATAACACCTAACAAAACATACCTAACAACACACTAACAAATACCCTTGAAACTCACGTGCAGTGCACATGAGTGCCTTTTCTGTTAACTATTTAAAAATCCAAAAATACTTGAGAGCTCTAATTAGAGCCACCACTAATGATGTGATAGTGAATCTCATCCACTGCCACAGTGTATGTTGTGCTTTGTTTTTGTTGTTATTTTTTTTTTTTTTCAATTTCCACCTAACTAGTGGTGGATTTAGAGCTCCTTATTTAGAACTCTAAATCATTGTTGTTTAAACACCATCTATCATTTGGACCAAGTAGCATCAGTTTGTAAAAATTTAGGAACCAAGAAGACAAAATCACAGTGTGTTTAGTTTGAGTTTTCTGGATTAAATTTTTTAAAAATTGATTTTTTTGGTTTTCGTGTTTTTTTTATTTTTAGTGAATATTTTTAAAATTTTAAACATTTTTTTTACTTTTTTAGATGCACCTTACTTAAATGAATCTAAAAAGTAAAAAAATTGTGAAAAAATATTTTAAAAAATTAATAAATACATAAAAATACAAAAAAATATACTGAATTCTTGTATTTTTTTTATATTTTTGGTATTTAGTGAATTTTTAAAAGATTTTTTTTATAATTTTTTTATTTTTTAGGTGTATTTATGTTAGGTGCGTATAAAAAGTAAAAAAATTACTTAAAATATTAAAAAAATTCAGTAAAAATAAAAAATACGAAAAATAAGAAAATAGAATTTTTAGTGTATTTTGAAAAGTGAAAACAAACAAGGTAGAATCTAAAATCCAGTAAAAAAACTGGAGAACTGTTGGCATTTATCTTTGCCACCGGAAAATTCGAAACCTGTTGTTTTACAAGAAGTACAATAAGGTTGTGTGTTTTCTTAGATTAAAATCTTTGCTTTTACACATAAAGGAGAAAAAATATTATTTGCAAGAAGAATCCATATACCCATTAAACTTACACACAACCAAGATGAGCAAGTATTACAAATTTAACAAAGAAACTTTTACATACAAAATAAGAATCAAACCAAATGATGGCCTTGAAGGAACTTAAGGTAGGCCATTTACTGGTGATGTGCTGAAGATTGGCTTTTCTCTGTCCACAACATTTCCACCACCACCAACACTACTGCTTTTCCTCCGAGGCTTTGCCTCTCCAAGCATCGTTATGACATCCCTCATGGATGGCCTGTCCTTGGGCATCTTGGCTGTACAAAGAAGCGCTATCCGAAGGACTAACATCATCTCTTCTTGAACATGTTTGCAATTCCCTACATTGGGGTCTAGTGCTTCTTCTAAAGATCTGTTGTCGCGAATCTTCTTTCGAATCCATTCATTTATGTCGACAGATTCTCCAAATTCAGGTTCTAATGGGCGTTTTCCAGTCAGAAGCTCCATTAGAACAACTCCATAGCTGTATATATCGCTCTTCTCATCTACCTTCAATGTGTATCCATACTCTGCGAAGGAATCATTCCAATACATGATTGTTAGCTACGAATAGTTAATTTTGAGTATCAGTGAAATTTCTCCGAAATAAACCAATCTGTGGCATTTTTTTATGAAGACAATACATACAGATCAAAACTAGTAACTCACCAGGAGCTATGTATCCATATGATCCTGCAACCATAGAAACTGTTTCATTCTTCTTAAGCATCATCCTTGCCAACCCGAAATCAGCAATCCTCGCCTCTAGATTTGCATCGAGCAATATGTTGTTTGACTTGACATCCCGGTGGATGACAGGAGGGTGGCAGTCATGGTGGAGATAGGCAAGCCCCTGAGCAACTCCGACTGCAATGTTGTATCGTGAAACCCAATCTACGAGCAACCTGCCTCCTTGTTTTCCATGTAAAGTTTCTCCAAGACTACCATTTTGCATGTACTCATAAACTATCATAGCATTTGTGTCATTGTGAAGAAATCCCAGCAACCTTACTATATTCCTATGCCTTAACCTCCCCAAAACATTCACCTCACCAACCAGGTCATCACTGTTTCCCATTTCCACGTCAGTCCCAGTTCTCCACAACTTTTTAACCGCCACAATCATGTTCAGACGCTGCATCTCTGCCTTATACACAATCCCAGTTGCGCCCATCCCAATCACATTCGATTCCTTGATGCAAGACAGAATGTCATTGCTCGTGAAACTGAGCCTCTGGAAAGCCATCAATCTCCAAGGCCACTCTCCTTTACCCATCTCAAACCTTTCCTCGAAGCAACTCCCATTTGAGTACCGCCTCTTGTATAGAGATCGAGCACCAAAAGCTGCGATCACAACAGCCAAGAGTGATGAAATTGCAATGATCCATCCGGCAACAACATGTTTTTTGTGTAAGCTCTTTTGTCGCAATGAATAGGCAGAATTTTGAGAACATGGAGGTAACAAACCACCACAGAGACCGGCATTGCCTGTAAGATCATCGGGGTTTATTGTCCTGAGCATGCCATTGGCGGGCACAGGACCTTCTAGCTTGTTGTAAGAAACATTGAGCATTTCCAAAGCCGGGGAGTTCCCAAAATTTTCTGGTATTCCACCAATAAGAAAATTGTTGGATAGATCAAGAACCGCTAAAGTGGGCATCATAGCAATTGTTTTTGGGATTGGCCCGGTTAATTGATTGTTGTGAAGATTCAAAGTCACCAATCTCTCGCACGAAGCTATACTCGCAGGAATAGGAATGCTTCCTGTGAAGCGGTTAGATGAGAGATCGAGGACTGAAAGTGAAGGACAGTCTTGAAACTGATCTGGGATTTCACCCACTAAGTTATTATCTGAGGCCATGAAGTTTTGCAGATTGGGAATGGAAAGGATAGAAGAAGGAAGAGAAGAAACAAGGCGATTTTGAGAGAAATCAATGAAAGAAAGTGAAGTAGAAGCAGCAATGTCAATTGGAATTTGGCCAGTTAGACTGTTGTTTGCCAAATCAAACCTCTGAAGCCTCCCAAGTTTGCCAAACCCAATTGGGATCGTACCAGAAAGACGATTATTTTGCATTCTAACGCGAACTAGCGAAGGACATGTCGATAAACCAGTAGGAATTGGACCCAAGAATGCATTGTTGAACAGAATGAGTTTTGTGAGGTTACCTCCGGAGCACAAATTGGCTGGAATTTGACCGGAGAAGGCATTGGACGATATGTCCAACCACTGAAGTGGTGAATTTAGGCCAAGATCACTTGGCAAGGGGCCTGAAAGTGAATTGTTCCATAGCTCAAGAGTATGTAGTTGAGTCAACTGTCCAAGCCCAGATGGAACTGAGCCTGACAGTTGATTACACATTAGATTCAGGAGCTGAAGATTCTTCAGCTGGGAAATCCCTACTGGGATTTCACCAAATAACATATTATCAGAGAGATCCAATACCTGTAACGAAGTAATGTTGCCAATTTCAGTTGGGATTTTCCCTCCGAAATTGTTCTTGTACAAGAAAACTGTGTTTAGAGACTTGTAGCGCTTCCCCAGATCAGCAGGAATGGAAACCACCAAGATTGCCAACTGCCAAATCAAGGTACCTTAGATTGGTGAGATTTCCAAACTCTGCTGGAATTTCACCTTCAAATTCATTGTACCCAAGAACAACCGTCTCCAATGATGACAGCTGGCCTAGCTCCGGTGGCAATTGGCCCGTTAAATTATTCCCGGAAAGCCCAAGAAACTTTAGTTTCTCCAAGTTCTTGAAAGAAATTGGGATTGAACCCTGGAAGAAATTCCCTCTGAGATCCAGGCTCTCAAGCAACGTCGCGTTTCCAAGATCCTCTGGAATGTCACCAGAGAAGTTGTTGCTGGAAGCATTGAGTGCTGTCAATCTTGCAGCTCTGCCAATGCCGATTGGAAAGGAATCAACAAAGCAGTTTTGGCTGAGATCAATGGTTTGAATTGAAGGGAGATTGGAGAGAGATTTTGGCAATGGGGATGAGAACCCATTGCAGCAGAGGTTGAGAGAAGTGAGACTCTGTAATTGTTGGATTTCATTGGATACAGTGCCACTGAGATTCATGTGAGAGAGTTCAAGCTTCTCAACAGCTCCATTAGAGTTGCACCACACACCAGTCCAATTACAGTGGAGTGAAGTGTTTCCCAACAACCCATTGTTGGGAACTTTCCAATTTTGAAGCTGCTTCAATGGATCAATCAGGCTTGCTTTTATGGATAGTAAAATTGATGTTTCATTATGATCATCAGCCAAGACAGCTGAAAAAAAGTAGAATAAGAACAACAAAACTAAATGTGTTTGGAGTTTCATGCTAGTGTTGTTCTTGATTGATCTTTGGTTGTAATTTCTCAGTTTCCCATCATTTTCTTTCCTGGAAAAAGTGAGAGAAAATGATGGGTCTCTGGTGGGGTAGGAGGAGAGATAGTGAGTGGAAGTTATATGAGAGGTAATGAAGAGAAGATTGATTGATTGGCTTTTGATTAAAATAAAGAGAGAGAGCTCGTGAGGTCTTGGGTTCTGAAACAGGCTGGTAACATGCAAGGGATGAGTGGAAAATTTGGAGTTTATTGGAAGTGAGTCCGACATTAAACATGGGAGAGAATGTGTTCTTTCTTACACTCAATACAATGTTTCTTCTTTTCCTTCTTCTTCTGTTTTTTTTGATAGTCAACTTCAAGTGGGTGATAATGATCAAATTCTTGTTCTTCATTTTTTTTTTTTATTTCAAACAATATAATTATTAATTTATGATATAACAGCTAATAAGCTTAAATTTGAAACATTAAAAGAGTGAATATCTAGTGTCCCATAATTCATAATAAACATAAATATGCACTTTGGATGCATTATTGTAGTTTTTATATTGGTTGGATACTCTTTGAGTAATTCACCAAGCCTTGTTAAAAGGAGTAATTATTTAGCAGTCTTAGAGTATTATGTGGTATTATTTACGTAGTATTTTAAACTAATCACGTAATGAAAATTTTAGTTAATGCATGTTGTGATTTCTTATTTGTTGTGAGTATTACTTAAAAAATGTCAACCAAAAATAAAATAAAAAGACGGGGATACTCTGTATTCAATTTTTTTGTTTTTTAATATTGAATCTCAAAAATTTTATCATATAGTTGATTATATTTAAATCTCATAATTGCCTCAAGTTTTTCATTACACTTGCCTAGTTAAAGCTTCTTTCTGCAGTGTACGTGGGTGTGAATTCCAAAAGTTGCATCCCCAAATGATGTAGATTTGATAAAAAGACCTTCCTAGTGGTAGTTTCCTCTAGTGCTTAAATTAAAGGGTGGCTTCCAAGTATGACAAAGATTCATGAATTATGAGTCAAGCAAAGCTTCTACTCTACAATTGCTTGCTCAGGTTTAAAGAAAGGACCCACCTTAAAAAATATCAAGAAAAAAAAAATCATGATTATTCATGAATTTCTAATGCCCCCATTGAACACCCATGTACATTTACTGATCAATCCCAACCCCCAAATGATCATGAATATTGCTAGTTCATTTGGGTAGTTTTTTTTTTAAATGTTTTCCCAACCTCTTAATTCTAAAAAAATTATAGACTTTTATCAATCAGTTGAATTGAAATTCAGTTGAGATTAACTTAAGGAATAATCGAACCAAAGTTAAATATTTTTTAAAACTTGTATTGATATTTTAAAATAAATTTAAATAACTCAATACTCAAGTTTTTAACTTTGCAGCCTTAGTTTTAATGCAATTATAAAGATAAAATTGTTGTGCTCAAATTGAAGCAACAAAGAACTTGACAGGAGGTAGAAATTAATAGAAAGAGAAAGCAGGGAAGAGGAAATGGGGGAAAAGTGATGGACATTATCAATCATGCTCTGACCCTACCAACCGCCATTCCCCCTTAGAAAATATATACAATACATGACCCATTATTTAACAGAATAAACTGCCTAGTTTCACATGTACCCATGTGGGTTTGGTTGAAAAAAATATATTAAAAAAAAATAAATAGTAAATGTTGTGTGTCACTAATCTAAAAGTGGATGAGGGAGACCATGTGAAACCCTAGTTTCATAGGAATGGACCTTCATCCTCCCTATTATTATTAGAGAGAGGAGAGATAAATATATATATATATATATAATATGGGATCAAGATCACATCATATGGTAATCTTTGAAGCCCATTTAAGGGATGGGCATGGGGGCTTGCTTGTCACCACATGGCTTTATGCCCACAACCCAGCATTACAATTTGCATGATTGGAGAGAGAGAGAGAGAGAATCAAATAACAATTCAGAGCCATGGTGGTGATTGCACATGTGGCACATGCAATGCATTTTTGCTGGGATCCACCTGAATGTGCTTGTCCTTCGTGGGCTGAATTTGGGCCCTAACTTTCGAGATTATTGGACTCGAATTGACCCGTTGGGCGAATTGATACTGGACTGGATCAACTCGCCTAACATCGTTATAACCGATTTATTGGGCTCAAACCCACGACTAACTTCCGTACATGGTTTGGTGAAAGACTAGCATATACTACATTTAGGGATGTAAGATAAACAGAAAAAATCAATCAAACCGATTGAACCGAATCACATTGATTATATTTTGTCTGTTTTTTAACAAGAATCGATCTGTGCGGTTTTTAAATTTGATTTTTTTTCTATTTTCGGTTCAGTATTGGTTTAGGTAGCTTGTGCACCGATCTAAACCAAAACCGACCGCTTCAATCTAATAATATAATGATATTAATAAGTATAATAAATTATCAACCTTAATTAATTAACCTTATCATCTTTATAACCTAAGTTTGTAAACTCTTATTATATATAATTTTAACTCTGAACTCATTATTCTTGAAATCTTAATATTTTTAAATTTTTTTTTGTTTTTATTTTTGTTAATTTAAGAATTGAAAAGTACGTATTAAATGGATGGATTAGAAATGTTTGAAATGGTAGTCAAATAACTAATTTAATATTTTTATATAGATTAATGATTATATTTAAAAGTGGCTCGAGTTTGAAAAATCCTAAACCGATTAAACTGCACCAAACCGAACCGCTTCAATTGGTTCGGTTCGGTGGGGTTTGATGGAAGAAGCAGTTTGTATCGATATTCAAAATAATAAAACCGACATTATCGGTTTGGTGTAATTTTTTACTTAAATATTGACCGTACCGAACCGATTACATCCCTAACTACATTACAGACAATAATTAATAATTAATGAATTAAAAGATATAAAATGAGAAATATATATAATATTTTAGTATTTTAATTTAATATGTTGATTAAAATAAAATTATATATTATATATAAATATATTTATTAAATTTAATTGGACGGATAGGTAAAATGTGACGGGAATCAAAATTCATTTTTTTGTATGTTGACTTTAGTGATGGTAAGACTTTTTGAATTTTAAATTTGTGCAAGAATATGGAAGAAAATGAAAAGAATGTCTAATTTCTATTATAAATCCCTAATCAAATAAATTTGTCACTTTCCTGTTTTATTTTCCTTTCTTTTAATAAACTTATTTATTATAATCAAATTTAAAATCTAAATACAACCTAACTATTAGTCTCTCACACACCTACACATGGAATAAAAATTAATCCTCCATTTGGCATATACCATCTAACAAATAAATTAATAAATAAAAAATAAAAAAAGCAAAGCAAAGTCTGGCAGCTCACCATCTACTGGCAATTAACTGTTTTCTATGATTCCTGCATTTTTTGTTTGTTTATTATTTTGATAAGCTGAAAAGGGAAACTAAAAAGAGAAGAAAAGAAGACATAAAAGCCATCTCCATGTGCCCATTTCAACCACTACATTTTCACAGAGAGAACCTACTAGTACCTGCAGGCTGAAAAACAAAATGCAGCCTTTTTCCTGAAATTGTACCATAAGCCCTTTTACCATTTCTTTTCAGAACTCAAAATATATATTTAAAGAAGAAGAGGAAAAACCCCTCTTATAACTGTGATTCACTCCAAAATAAGAGAGAAGACACCATATTTAATTAAGAACAAGAGATTACAGTAATGTGGATTCATCACAACACCCACAAAACAGTATCCAATATGAAAAGCAAAGCCAACATGTTATCCTATTTTTACCTGTTCATTGGAAAGCCCAATATGCAGATATTCATTCAGATCGTAGAACCAAATGTACCAAAACAGAACAATAAAAGCAAGAAAGAAAATAGACACTGGATATCATGACAGAAACCCTCTGTTCACTTTCAATCACACAAAATGGGGCCAAATTCCCCATTTTCATTATTTACACAATACAGTCTGTTATTATTATAAAAATGAAAAGAAAAAAAATAGAGGTCTGTTTGAATGGAATATAAAAGGTTCATAATCCAGATATCCCTTTGCTTTTGCTAATAAGATCCTGGCTGCCCCTATAAAAGAAGCCCTTCGAAACAAGAAAAAAGGAATGCATCAACTCAGGTCGAAAATCTCTCTCAAGAAATGAATTAATACATCTATCCTCTTTTTCACTCCAAATAACAAATTATGATCAAAATATTAACAATATCAAGCGTATTGCACCACATTATTGCCTACTTAACCTAACAAGTATAGCACACCTGATCCCGATTATAGGATTGTTCATCTCTGAAGGCCACTCCTTGAACAAAAAATCAATGACAGGAGCTGACCAGTGGTTATTACTAAAATTAGCCACCATCTTATAACTATATATGTCCTACCATATTAAATTATCCTAATGATATGTTAACTTTGGTGTATATTTAATAATTTATTTATTCTTTTGAGGCTGTGGGTGTGGGGAGACAGTGTATGCCTACTTGCCTTGTGCAGGCACTCGTGTGTGTGAGAGAGAAGTTTTTCTATGACCCCAAAATGAACGCATGTATCTCAGCCCAGCTAGATACAGTGTAAAGAATGCCGGATGGTCCCTTCCAATTTGAAGAGCAGTCCTTAATCAGTTCTCTTTGCTTCTTCACCAAACCAGAAAACAATGGGACAAAAGATATACCAAACTGATCTCCCAGCCTCCGTAGATTGGAACTTGAACCAATCACAATGCCAACATCTGCTTTGAGCAGGCAAAGTAAGTCACCCACTGAACCTCCAATGTAAATCGTCAAGTGCTCTCCAATCTTGTGGCCCTTTATGATGTCATTAAAGGCTTGAAGCTTTTCTTTGGGAGACTCGACCTTCTTAATGATTTCACCGGTGGTAATGAATTCTTCATAAGCCAACTCATTTGAATGTACATTCCGAACATTTAGATCCCCTGCTCAACAGAACAAGAAGGGAAACTCTTATCATCCCTCCAAAAAGAACAATCAAAACCATGACAGTTTATAATTTAACAAAAGATACAAGGCACTGAAAAGATATGTTCTTCTTTGCCACTCGTATTTTTGGATAATCAGGAATTTAGCTACCAAAAAGTGGACCTCTCTTGTCATGTTTGATTAGTGAGTGAAGATAAATTATCACCATGGAAAATTAAATCAATTAAGCATTCCAACTGTCTAAAAATTACGAGAGCAATATCTCACAAGTACAAGGACAGCAAAATGGCGAGAAACATTCAAACATGTATCATATTAGAAAAATGCATGATAACACACATATGCTCCAGAAACCATACTTGATGAAAAAGCAGACCGAATGAGATCACCACACCAAGAGTACGAGAGCACATGAACATCTATCTTCAGATTTTCACATTTCACAATCTCTTGGACGAACCCTTCGCAACCATCTTGTAGAGTGAGGTGTTCACCAGCCCATTTTATGTCCTGTAGATTTAAACCCTTCAGTACACCAGACTTGATCACTCTTGAATTAGCCCTTTTTTCAAAATCAGATAGTTGCTCAAGTGCTCTACACAGACCTTCATAATTGAACTCCTCCACTGCAAAACACATACCGTTGGAGTCACAGATATATATACATATATGAGAATTCTCATCTCCATGACATTTATAGTTCTTAACATACCATCTACAGAGGGATACATCAATCAAGAAAATCTACTCATTATACCTTTATTACCGGCCATGATGCTTCCTACACATTGTTCATACTCTTCAGCATACTGGCTGGAAATAACTCCCCATGTGGTCCTCAGATCATCTGATGACATTTGAGCGAATTGGGTCTCACATCTATTCAGATCAGCCTTTGATGCTGTTCTAATTGCAATCTCTGCCAGAAGGGCAGAGGAATCAATAGTAGTGCAAGTCATGTCAAAATCACAAAAAATGCTAAGATTGCATTCTGCTGGGTCAAGAGGCTGAGAAAAAGGAACTACAGTTTGCTGGAGAATTGGTTGAGCAGAGAAGAACTTCACTTCAAGTTTCATAGCTTGATGATAGAGCTTTTCTATGACTATGAGCTCTTCGCCAGTCAAAGAAACGCTTAACTTATCAAGTAAGTCTTCAATCTGCAGTGCCGTTTCCTGAATTCAGAACCACAATAAGTGAGTACTGAACAGAAATATACAAATCAAAGATTCTTTTTCTCAGCAACTGTATTAAGTATCCTTGTTTGATCAGCGAAGACTTCAAACAGGAGACCAGGGAAAATAATCTGACGAACCTCAAAATTTTGGGAGGAAAGAGAGTGTCAATCCACTTCTGGTAGATTTGATTGCTTTGATCAAGTTCTTGAAGATCCAGGATCTCCTTACTTATAAAAGCATAAAGTCTCATGCAAGGTCCCATAGCAGCAAGTGTATAAGCAGCTAGTTTTGTCTTCTCAAAAGGAGTAGCAATTTTACTTTGAAACTTTTCTCCTTCAACTTTACCCGAAGCTGTTGCCAACAAGAAATCTGTATATTTGATTGTTGCATTATCGGAAATGCTCTCACTTGGAAGTTCAAAGCCCCATTCCTGTATTAGAATGTGTATTCAAATTGATCACGATTCACGAAGAACTTAAAATGAGAGAGGAGTGTAAATAGCTATATTCAAATGAAATTCAATTTTTATCTTATTGTAATAGTTGTTGGCACGCTGATAAATAAGCCACTACATGAACCACAGTTAACAGGTTAAGCGAGAGAGAGAAGGTAGGAAGGGGCGCCAAAAAAAAAAAATTACTCATCACACAAACATAGGCATGCATTTGTATACACACAAACGCTCTAAAACCTACATCACTGATACAGGCCCGCAGTTTCAGTAAAGGGATTCACTGGTTAACATCCAGTAATTATACCAGTATACAGGATATACATCAACATAGGACTTGATTCAAAACAACATTAAAAACTTCAGGTGAGGGGCAGAAGAAAAAAAACTAAAAAAAATTATGTTAGAGACATCAGATATCAGGCACAAACAAACTTGCATAAGAGACTTACTTAGACATCGATTTGTAGTGCACTCACCCTGAGATCAACTAAAAGACAAGGAAATTTCAAATCTAAAAACTCAACTGCAAAATTTGCAAATTGGGATGACTTAAGTTTCCAATTATGTATTCTTTCTCCATTTACATCAACTGTGTGTTTCACAGAATCCAAACATGTTGAGACTATGAAATAAATTATTGAATTCCCTCCTAGGAATGTTCGTAACAGCATCTCCACATTAAATAATCACTGTTATCATCCATCCTTACTCTGTCCGAAGCTAGCACCCAACGAAGCATTGTAATTTACTATGTTTATAGAAAAAGAAAAGGAATAAAACAATGATAATGATGATGAGGAATATTAACAACTATGATCATGATGATTAATTATGGTCCTCACTTCTTGCCCAAAAGGTAGGATAGTTTATAAAAAAAATGAAATAAAATACCACGTGACACTAAATCTCCGCCGATCTCTTTGTTTTATTCACTATTTTGAATCTAATTCATCAATGTGACCAAATCTAATTTATCAATTTGACAAGCAAAGAGGAAGTCTTTTCCCAATCCATAGATAAACACAAGGTTAAGAGCAATGTTCTGAGTTTGATTTTTTGACAGGTCAGATGAATTTTTTTTTTTTTTCCCCAATCTGAAGCAATTGTCAGTCGCAGTAGTAAAAAAAAAAAAAAAAAAAAAAAAAACTAGTCATAATAAGTCATGGCATAAATATGAAATAGAGAAATCAAAACCCAGATACCAAAAACATCTGAGGAAGAAAAAGCAAGGAATTGGGAGGTTACCCGGACGAGATCATCATGGGTATTGAGCTTTTTCAATACACGTTTCCTCAACTTGCGGATTATTGCCTTGTGTTCGTCATCATCTGCGCAGTCTTCTGCCAAATCATACCTGAAAAATCCAAATTATTAACATCAATAAAACAACGCCCTATACATAAAATTTGTAGAGAGAGAGAGAGAGAGGTTAAGTTACGCTTGGACAAAAGCTCTGTAGAAGTAAACATCTTGAGAGATACAATGGAGAAAAGATTGAGGATCCAAAACACCAGAGGCCAAACAGACGACAAAAGGAGTGTAAAGGGCGAAAATAGAATCGTCCCTAAATTTGACCCACAACCTCCTCGCTATTCCCCCTCCTTCTTCCTCTCCAATCTCCGGCAGTCCCATCTTCTCCCTCCCTCCCTCCCTCCGATAACAACAACAATCTCACTTCGATTTCACCAAAATTCGCACAAAACAGAACCAAAGAAATAAATAAATTCGATCGATCGATCGATCGAGAGAAGAGTTGGTGATTGGATTGGATTGTTTGTTAGTGTTTGAATTATAGATAGTCCAATTTCGCGAGACGGCAGAGGCAGAGGCAGAGGCAGAGGCAGTCAACAAAATTGAGATGGAAGAGTCGTGAAAGTGAGTTTTTGAGACGCCGGTTGAATTGGTGAGGAAAGAGACAACGGTTGGTTGGTGGGAGGGCACACATGTAGTCCGCGTTTGGTCAACAATTCCCCCCACCCTACTCCATTATTTATTTATTTATTATTATTATTATTATTATTATTATACCACCGTATAGGAAACTATATCGAATATTTTTGTACTTTCCTTCCTTTCTTAACACAAAAATGTAACCAACAAAATGGCATTTCGATTTGGGGTGGCACGTCACAGTCAAATGAATAAATTTCTCAACCAATTTTGATGATTTAAATTATTTATATTTGTAAATATATTAAATAAAATATATGTATAAAAAATTAAATTAATTAAATATTGTTAATCTTTTCATCTAGTTATATTTATATTCATTTTAATATTTTAAATTACAATTGTCATTTGAATATAAATGTGAGTAGATAAAAGAATTAATGATATTCAATTAATTTAATTTTTTACAAATATATTCTATTCGATATATTCTAAAATGTGAACGGATTAGATTATTGAAATAAATTTCAAAATATATCTATTTATCTAGTGGCGGAGCCAAAAAATTAAATTAGAAGGGACACTTATTAATTACAATAATTTTTACAAAAATATTTCACGCAAGTTTTTACGATTGATTTCAAGAAACATCAAAAAAAAAATTAGTGTTTGGTTTCAGTTTTCTAAATTCAGTTTTTTGAAATTTGAGTTTTTTTATTTTTCATATTTTTTTATTTTTAGTGAATATTTTCTGAATTTTAAGTAATTTTTTTACTTTTTTAGATACACATTACTTAGATGTATCTAAATAGTAAAATACTTGTAAAAAAATTAATAAGTACACAAAAATATAAAAAATATACTGAATTTTTTTTTTGGTATTTTTTGGTGTTTAATGTATTTTTTAAATATTTTTTTCATAAATATTATACTTTTTAATTGTATTTATGTTAAGTGTGTCTAAAAATTAAAAAAAAAATTGCTTAAAAATATTTAAAAAATTCATTCAAAACATTAAAATAAGAAAAATAAAAAGGTAAATTTTCTGAAACTGTTTTCTGAAAACTAGAAACAAACAAGTTGAATATTATTTGTAACTACTATATCATGGGCAATAAAAAAAATATGATATAAGCCCTAAAATAAATTATATAATGATGGATTATTTTTTGAAAAAAAATTGATAAAAAATTCAGTATAATGATAATACCACATCATCATTGGTATGTGATATCACCCAATAATGATAAATAAACGCATAAACAGTGAACCTCACTTGTCAAATGTAACTAACAATCTAATAAATATCATATCCTTATAGTGAGATTACTTATACTTGCATATCACTAATAATGACATCACCGTTACATTTAAAAAATTTCATAACTAATATGATTTATTTATAATAGTCTATTCATTTTTAATCAAAATAATTATTATTATTTTCATAATTTTTAAAATATTATTAACATTTACTCATTAAATTTTTAATAATTGAAATTGCCCTTCAATAATGATTGTTCATCATTTATAATTATTTATAAAAGAACATAATGATTTAACATTTATTCTGATTTTCAAAACTTTAAAACATTAATTTTCAAATTGAAAAAACTAAAAAAACTAAAAAAATTATGTGCAAAAAAAACCTTTTTTTTTAATTTTTTTTTTTTTTTTTTTTTTTTTACCTTATTAAGAATATTAATGTTTAAGTTTTATTTTAGACTTGATTATAAATTTTAAAAGAAAAAGAATCAATGGCATTGTGGTAAGGCCTTGGGGTTTAAGCCCCAAGGTCACAAGTTCAATTTTTCCTTTGGGCCAATCTCCTGGGCGAAGCACTGTTGGTTAGGAGGTTGGACCTCAAGGATGCCTAATCAGCTACTTGGTGTGGATTTAATGCTCCCCCGCTGTGCGAGTCCTGACTTAATCGAAGCTTACCTTGGGAGGTCGGGATAAGCTTCCAGATTATAGTCTCTTACTCGGAACGGATAACAGGACACCCTAGTGATCTCTTCATGGGGCGCTGCCTTGGACCTACGGGAGGATGGGAAGATTTCCCTGTAACAAAAAAAAAAATAATAAATAAATAAATAAAAATGACCAATTGTAAATGAAATAAAAAGTACAATTTAGTTACAAAATCTTCTAATTTTCTCTCTAAAAATCGCTGTCCAGAAATAGTTATAAAATATGATAATGTGTCGTCTCTACTTTATTAATTGAACTGTACGAAATTGTTTGAGCACCTTAGACACACCCCTTATCTAATTTTGATCATTTAAGTTGTTAATTGGGAGTTTTTTGATAAATTCATTTTTTAAGAGTTTTATTCTATTCAATTTATATTCTTTTTGACTATTCTATTAAGTCCTATTTGAGATAAGAAGACCAAAATACCATTTTCATCTACTTATGTTCCATTTAGTTCATATTATTTTCTTATGTTTCAATAAGTTCTATGGGTGACATAATTACCAAAATACCCCTAATGTGAATGTTCACACTATCAATGTGAATGTTCATATCGTCAATGTGTAAGAGCCCGGCCCATGTTGATCCTCATGGGTGCCCGAAAAAATTCGAGTCGGACCGGGACGGGCCCGGCCCATTGACAATGTGAATATTCGCATTGACATGCTAACATTCACATTAATAGAAGTGTAAAATTGGCCCGCGTCCCGTGGAGGCGCGAAACCCGCCCGCGGCCCATGGACGGGCCGAGGCGGGCCCGGCCCGGCCCGTTGACAATATGAATATTCACATTGACATGTTAACATTCACATTGATAAAAGTATAAAATTGGCCCGCGACCCATGGGCGGCCAAACACCTGCCCGAGACCCAGGACGGGCCCGTTGACAATGTGAATATTCACATTGACATGTTAACATTCACATTGATAGAAGTGTCCTAGCCTAGGGTCTCAGACTAGGCTCAAGCCTGGGCCCAAACGAGTTTTTCCCGGGCCGGCCCACGGGCCGAAAAATTAAGCCTAGGCCCCAGCCCTGGCATAAGGGTATTTGGACTTTAGACTGGCCGATAGATCGAGTCTCGGGTCGGGCCTGTGGGCCTAGTCTCGAGCTTAGGTCAGGCTTGGGTGTCACGACCCAAACCCGTCCCTATGGGTTTAGCACCGTAACCGGCCAGTAATCCGAGATTACCGAAGGCCTGCTTAACAGTAATACAGTAAAACAGAGTACAAGGATATGGCGGAAGCCAAAACAGTAAATAAACAATATCTAATGAGCTGTGACAGTCCGTATGCAAAAGACTTTTTCATACATATATGCAGTCAGTGACAAAACAATATGTACATATATACAATCATTCAGTTCAGGGACCTAATCCCTACTAAACAGTACGGTAACAGTCTATACAGTCTACAAAACAGTTACAGACAGACGAGGGAAAATTAAAACACCACATAGCCTTAGCTGGACAGGCTCGGAACCTCGCAGTGAGGCACATAGGTTGGCTTGACAAAACTGGAGTTAACCCCGACGCTTCTAACCGCGGTCTGGTGCTTGTACACCTACATATATATATGAGCAGTGAGCTAAAGCCAAGTGAATAACATAATGTGTAAAGAGGTTAAGAATGAATGTCCTTACAGTAATGAAAACAGTTCATTAAATCAGTATTTCAGTCGTTCAGTCAATACAGTCATATGTGGTACATCCATTAGCCTAACAGTAACAGTAGGTCTTAAAAGACCGAACAGTAATGATGGCCATCAGTCAGTAAACAGTTGTGAATCTTAAAAAAAAAAAAAAAAGTGATTGTAAACTTAAAAAAAGGGTGACATTAGAAAAAAAATTAAATTTATAAACGTAATAAATTGAAAAATCTAGAAATCCCCTAGATGTTGATTTGTGATTATGTATCAATTTTAAGCAGAATATAACAATCCCAATCAAACAATCAAGACAAAGAGACACAACGATTTTAACGTGGAAAAAACCACAATTGGACACCTCCAACTGTGATCAAAAAACCACGGGCAACAGCCACAAGACAATCCACTAAGAAGAATTAAAGGAATTACACAGGTATACTCTCAATTACCTAGCGAATCCACAACGCCTAATTGAACCAACCTCTATGTGCCTCTTCCAACCCCATCTTCACCACGGAATTGTCTTTCTGATGAGCCACTCCGGATTCCACCAAAGCTTTAGGCTCGAATTCTTCAGAATCCACAACTGAAGAATAACTCTCTCTTTTGTGTATAACAAACAAATCTTTGATGTACTCTTTTTAAGTCATGAGTTGAAGACTCAAAAAAAACATCAAAGAAAACAAACAAAATATCCCCAGATATAAACCTTAAGAACCAAAAAGAAGATCTTGAGGACTTCAATCAATGTCCCTTAGTTTTGGGAGAAAACCAAGTATTTATAGAGAATCAAAAGTAATCCTAGATTGGGAAGAAAACAAACTCCTTGAGAAATCCGGAGTCTGAGGCTCGCTCGAGCGAAGATTTGCTGGCTCGAGCGAGGAGTGTATTTTTCATGATTTCTACTAGTGCCTTGGCTCGAGCGACGAATCCTTGGCTCGAGCGAGCAATCAACTCTTTCAGGTTTTTGTATGGACGCAATCCTTGGCTCGAGCGAGAACTCCTTAGCTCGAGCGAGAATTCCTTGGCTCGAGCGAACATGGGCGGACATGCAATTTTGAATGCAATTTTGCAATTTGCTTCGGCCCCCGTAATAATCAGCGAAGTGGCAATCTTGAAAGCATTAACATCACAAACTTCTCTAAACGGCACAATTCGGATTGGATTCGCATCTAATAAACTCATAGCCTCACTGAAATAAAAAAGAGCGAATAAAATTACAACTCAAAGGAGTTTTGTCAAACGGGATTGCCAAGAAAAAAAACCTAACAGTTCTAACAAGGGAACCGACAGAGATCACTGTAACAGTAACAGTAGTTACTAAGGATGCCACAATACAGTTCAGAATAGAGGACATACATTCATTCTATTAACAGTATCAATTCAGAAACAGTACAGTTCAATTGTTCAAAAGATAATCATTTTTGAACATATCTTTACACAG